CTTTAGGACTCTTTTCGGATCGCGTAGGGAGTATATGTATAAATGGATAAAATTATGATACAGGTTTGAAATTTGGTAAATATCCGCCATAATTAGTCTTGTCAAGGTTAGCCTACGAAGAGAATTACCTACGGTCTTATGCAGTTCCCGAAGGGTAAGTAGCTTTAATAAAAAACTATTTCTGAGAAAATGTTCATAGAGAGGCTTGAGAATGTTTGTCTAGCTTCCACGGTGTTTTGATCTGAAGTATCTGGAACTAGTCATTAAAACGAAAATAGCTCAATGGGCAAATTTATTTTAGATTAGTTACTAAAGGAATGCCGACACTAAAACAATAGCAAACGTCCAGTCGTCACAGATGATAGTAATGAAGAAGTCAGGATCTACAGACCCCAATGGAAATAAAAAAAAAACTTTTTTTAAGCTGAACTATGCTTCAGAAATATCGGCACTAGCGGTATTTGTCGAAACTAAAGAGCATCCGTAAAATGTATCTGGATAATTGATGTGGTGTTTAATCTTTTCTGACCTTGAAAGACTAAAAAGTGTATCTAATACGCTTCAGCTACAGCTTGTGTATATCCATCGCCAACCAAAACTTCATATCTCATTTAGGTCAAAAGAAACAAATCTTTGAGTATATGCGTATCAAATTTAAAAAAATATATATCTTTATGTTTTGGGGCACCCTAATGTACACACATATTGCGCAATTTCACATCGCCATTCAGTGTATAACTAATATCATTGCAATCACTGTGGTTTAAAAGCTCGACATCGAATAAATAAGTGCATTTCAATTACACCATTCTATGCAAACTTTTTAATGGGCGATTGCTGATTTAATATTTGTTTAATGGACAATGAATACAGAGTAAAATATTACTTTTTTAATTTTTTGTTTTATTTTTTAATGTTTTTATTGGCATACATGCTCTTATATATATAAAGTAATAACTGTACAACTATGTGCAGCCAAAACTCTTAAGAAACACCAACAAAGGAAGTGTTATCAGCAAACATGAGAGGGTAATAAAAAAGTAATCAAAGTCCAAAAAAAGCAGACATAATTCAAAGGAGCAAAAAATTGAAATTACATAAAGCATTTGATTCAATTGCCACCACAGCTTCGGTGTTTCGGCTAGGTGACCCGTTTAGTGCATTTTCGACACAGTAAACAAACATCAATTCAGCAAACTGAAAGCACAGCAAGAAGCGCAATACTAACACAATCAAAGAAGGGGCTAAAACCGACATCTGCCTTATGAATGACACTGGCAAGTCTTGCAACGGCTGTGGCGCCCTCGTCGACGGCGGTCAAAGACCACCAGTCTGCAATGTGTCTAGACTCTAGCCGATCGTTGGCCATTTTCCAAAGACACCAACAACAACTATCGCAGCGTCTACAAATGCAACGCGCAGTGAAACAGGAATTTTATAGCCGACCAAGCAAGCGAATGCAATAAAATAGACATAACTATTAATTATACTTGTAATAACAACTTTGTTATCACATCAAAATGATCGCTACAATGCATTGTATCCATATTCGTTCTCTTGGCGATTGAACATCTTCTTCGCTCATCTATGAAGCGCTCGATTTTGGATGCTCCACTTGGCAGCGCGCTGAATTGTTATTGATTTAGAAAGGTCTATTTTTTAACGGCACATTAACAAATGATGTTGAAATTGAAATTGACTTGAAAATATCGTAAAGTTTTAAATGCTTGTTGTATATTGACTTGGATAATAGAGTTGTCAAAAAAATTAAGGCAACAATTTTAAAATGCAATTGAGCAATTATATAGAAGCATAAATGTGTAGATATGCATTATAGGAAGAACACTATATTATATATTAATAAAATAGTCATCTATGGAGGAACTTTAATAAAAAAATTATTATTTGAAATTTTTACTCTTTTACGAAAGCAGACTGATAAGTTCCTTAACAAAACCTGAAAGCTTATTTATTTATTTTATAATGTATTCAGGGCCGGATTTAAGCGCAGGCTATATATGTGCTAGCCCAGGGGGCCGCGCCACAAAAAGAAATTCCAATAAAAAACATTGCATACATTGCGAAAAAATTCTCTGTGCCACTGTACATGCCTATGTATGTACATCTGTACGTGAAAAAATTAAATCGTGTATGATCTAAAAAAATTAAATCTGAAAATAACGACTATAATATGATCGAAAAACAAACATCATAAAACAACGATTAAGAATCATGGGAAAATTCATTCAAACCCACTATTCATAATCATGAAAATAATAAAATAGCGATTAAAAATGATCGTAAAAACATGACTAAAAAAAATTCGATTTTCCAACCATTTTGAAATAAAAAGACTGCATTATAACGATCACACGGTTTACAAAAAAAAAGAGTTTCTGCATATTTAACCAAACCTCTATAGCGCTATGTTATTCCTCAAAATTCATATATATGGGGATCCCGACCCGCTGAACCCGAATCCAACGTCCGTTAACCTACATAATATCAAATTCGAGGTCAGTTGAGGGTCAAATAGGAAAAAAAAATTAATCAATACAAATAAAAATTCGAATATCGAATGTGAAAATCGGGACTTTTCAGGAGAGCAAAAAAACTGTTGTAAAAATGTTGCTGTCATTAAGGAAAAGTGTGGGATTCGACACTTTGTAAAAGCGGGTATCCTCTGCTTCTAAGAAGACTAGAAATCCGACTATTTTCCAACTTACGTATCATTCTAAAAGCACGCGGAAGGTATCGTAAATGAAAAAGCATTTCTGCACATTCGACAGTTTAACATGGTAGCGACGATATATACATGGGTTTTTGTTGGCGCTGAATCTCCATATGGAGGTACCTTGATTCTTAAAGGTCATGCCAAGGTCATCTCAAGGTCAAATACCTCGAATTCGCATTCAGTGCGTCTAATAACATAGAAACCTGCGTTATTTTCCGTCCCTGCACTCTCAACGATGTATGGCGTGGATGATGACGTTACCTAATTAGTCGGCCCTGGGAGTTTTCGAAAGAAATATTCTACGGAAGCCATGTCATACGAATGAATGGAAATTTTCTAGTCCTGAAGATATTCCGCCCTGTTCTGTAATCCGTTTCGAATCGTAATCGGATTTGTTTCCGAGTGTTGGAGTTGAATTCCGATTCCGATGCGATTCAGACTCGGATTTCAGAACAGGGCTGATTGTTGCGGTACCCTCTGTTGGTACCAGAGGAAGAGAAACGCCTGCTCTGCGTTGGAAATATCGGAAGAAGAGAAGGCGAATAAAGACGCGAGCTACAAAGTTGATCGCGAAAAAAGAGCCGTAAAATACTTCGCCGAAGAAAGACGCTTAACATAGTTGGCGGCGAAGAACAACGCGGCCTGCTATGTTTACGGGTTTTACAATATACAAATTCCCTAAAGAGTTTTTGGAGAGTGATGCTGAAGAGACAGTCCTTGGCCAGTTATGAATCTATGTTTACGCACCTTTCTTCGCCGAAGTTTTTTTGCGCGTCTTTTTCATAATTTTTTTTTTCACGCGTCCTTTTTTGCCGGCAAAACACTCGCGCATGTTTATTCGTGTCTAGTGGCAATATCTCTTATATAGTCACCACGACTCTTCTAGAAGCACAAAATGTGCATCAAAATTGTCTATGACTTTATGGCATAGTTCGGGCTGCATATCATTCATAATGCATATGATATCGTTCTTCAGCTCTGGAGTTGTCTCTCGCTTATTGGCATAGATCAAGCAGCCTCAGAGAAAGAAGTCAAATGGTGTCAAATCTCTAGATCTCGCTGGACATTTTACCTAGTGGTTTTGTGAGATAATGCGTCCTGGGAACTTCGTTCGCAATAGGGTTAGTCTTTGCTTTTGAACTGCGTATTAGTTCGGTTGATAGAGATTTGAATCATTATTGTTCTATCGGCGATAAATAGAATGGATCGATCATATTGTTGTAGATGCTACTTAGCCCTGCCTAGATCGGATTGCGCTTCAATCGTTGTCAAGCTCAAATAACGGTAGGCCGAGAAATTGTGCCCCTTCGACGGGTTGAGACTAGAGCGATAGGGTGTTAATAAAGTTGGGTTTCGTGGGCATGTGAAAAGGTCTTTTGTAAAATGCGGAGACTTTCCATTTTTCGGACATATATTAGCTACATTGGGGTCTAGTCGGGGTCGGGAGCAGAAGCCAGACCGAAGTTGTCCAGCATTGTGCGGCTCTCCCCTTACTTTGCTGCTGCCTTGAACAGGCTGTCGAAGGTGATTTTAGTATTTTTGGGTTGATCACCGCCTGAATTTGTTCGCCATCGACTTCAATACCCACTTGCACTTTTTCTTTCAGTTGGTGATGATATTTTAGAGGAAAGAGTGAAGAACGAGAAAGTTAGAAGAGGTAAGCTTAAGCTTTTGAATACAGTTCCTCAATTCCATTGCCGGACTGCATTATCAAGCAATCGTCAGCATACAAGATAATTAAAGCTCCCTCTGGTGGTTGGGAAAGCTTCGAAATATAGTAGCTTAATGAATCGATCATCGCCCCGACGAAAATTCTTTCCGAAAGATTCCTTTGCTTCCTTTCGAGTATACTTATAGACCATAGCATTCGAGGACTAGAACAAGTATTTTTTAAATTATATTCTGCATTCACCTCGGTGGTGAACCAGCGTAGTTCACCTGTTAGTACTATGTGGTTCCTACTTGGGCGATATATCTTGCAAAATTTTTTTGAAACAAATGAAAGCGCTTTCGGTAATTAAATTCTGTACATCGGAAATACTTTTCGTGGTACTAGTCTCCTACTGTTTGCTCTACTTAAATGATTTTTTATCGATATACCAATGAATATAATTTCTCTTGCTCAAAGTTTTTATTATTCAGAAAAGAAGAAAGAGCGAAACCAGTCCAATTATATATTTATTTTTTGCATTGCAAACTTAAAAGAATTTATTTTATAATCTTTGCGTTTTAATTATTGAATCGTTGAATCTATTTTGTTGTCGCCATGCCTGATGCTATACCCACCGCAGCCATTTATGCGCATCCGTGTAGCGAACTAGAATGGAAACCAGAGCCGCCAAGTGAAATCCGTTGGGCTCGCCGCTTTAAAGGGCCCATTTACGCAGCCCTACTTAAAGAGTTCTATCAGGATGGTTGTTTTAAAGGAGCTTGTCATTTTGAGTATTTAGTAGAGCTGGAACAAAGTCTTATCGAAAGCGAGCATGAGATACACTACGTTTACGAGAATGGAAGCTTTCTATTTCAATTGGTCGATAATGCGAAGGCAGCCGAACAAGTTTTCTATTTGGATCGAATTCGCGGCTTATATGTTTCAAGGAAGATACTCTATCAGCTGATAGGGCTGGTAGAAAAGCAACAATTTCATTGGTTGACACAAAAACTATATGAAATAATAGCCGAATACATGCTCAAGCCTAAAACCCATGATGGCTCAGCGCAGGAGCAATCCGCGAGATTTATTTTCAAATATGCCAAATTTCTGATGCAACAAGGAAAACGTTAGTACAGATTCTTACTCAAATGATAAATAAAAAAAAGATATTCACTAAAGCTTTTTGTTTGCCAAACAGCGGAACAACTTCAGAAAGCCACAATGCTTATACCTACAGCCATGGAAGCGGCATGCAGCGAAGAATGGCAGCCTGATACCAGCCCTGAAAATGAATTATTTTGCACTCTCCATGCGGCCTTAGGCAACTTATTGGCTAAAATTTATTTGATCAAGGCAAAACAAGTAGATATTACACGAAAGCGTGCTATTAAACGCGTACAGAAAGCGCTGAAGGCTATCGCTCAAGGTAAGTGCAAAGTTTTGATATAAAATTGATTGAGGAATGGAGCAGCGGATTCCTCTTCTTTACAGTTGGTATACAGGAAAATAGATGTACAGCCTTCAAAGCTTTTCTAACAAAAATCGAGCTTCTTATGGAATCTGGCAGATATGATTGGGCTTTGAAGGAACTACTTTTACTAGAAAAGAGTGTTATGAAAGCGGAAGGAGCAGAGTTTAGAGAATTTAAGTTGGATTTCTTGAAAAAACTTGGTACGACCTTGTGTAGGTGAGTAACTTTATGTAAAAAAAACTTTTCAGACTTTATTCACGCCTACGACGGATCAAGTGAAATGTTAAGCTTGTCACCAAGGGCAGGTAGTTTTTTGTTCGGTGGTTCCGAGTTTTATTTATTTTTACTAAAATTCTATTAAAATGGCATCTTAAACTACATCTTTGGCTAGTTCCGCGTTAAAATGTTGTTTGGGAACCCTATGAATTATTGATTCAAAGGGAAAATAGCCTATCTCGAGATACACTTAGAACTTAGGGAAAGGTTAAAGGTTATGTATTTAGCTCTATAAAGCCTTATCTACCAGGTAGATAATTGTGAGTGGTGTTTCAAAGGTTCTTGCATTTAAAGGATTTCCCTGTTGATTTTCTATAAATTAAAAAAGTGAGTTCTAACAAAGCTTGTCTATTGAAAATTTTCCCTTTGTTTGCTACTATAATTCCATGTAGAAATGGTTTCCTAAAAATTATTATCTTTTTCTTCCTGAACAGCCTTGGCAATCCGATTGATGCAATAGAAATTTTTGGCAAGGCATTGAAATTTTGCAGAGTAAATAACTTTCCCCAAGCGGAAGGTGAGCTTCTACTGCAAATCGGCCATGCGCAACGCCACTTACCCGGCAGTGAACTAAGAGCACTTTTGGCATTTCAATTGGCCGAAAGACGTTTTCATTGTCAAGGTGATAAATCAAAGGAACTTTGTACTATATTCGTGATGGCCGCCTTGAAGTCACAGCTCATACTATCTGACTTAACGAAACTTATGAGTTCAAAGGCGTATTGTGATTATTATAAGCTGAGACGTTGGAAAAATCTTTGTGAACCATTTTGGGAAGTCGGAACGCAAACTGGGCATATAAATCGAAATATTTTGAAAAACATATCAATGTACACCTCAGAAAATCTACACAAACTATATAATCTCGTATTAGAAACATCTGAGAAGGACGACTGCGAAGAGAACGTTTATTTGGAGCGTATAATTGTAGAAAATTTATATAAGCCTGCTGTTTCTATGGCCAACGCAGAAGTAGAGATTGAAGAAGGGCCAGCAGGAGAAGAAGGCCTGTCTGAGTATGAGTTTGAGTACGACCA